TAAACTGTACTGTTTCTGAATTGATATTGTTAACTGAATGAATGTATGTCCTCTATTCTGAACTGTACTGTGGCATCCATAGCAACTACTGTTACTGTTACTGCTACTGTTACAGAGATCTCTGTCGGTTCCCAAGTTTGGAACCATTACCGATGGCCATCATTGACTGTTCGGTCCCTCAAGACCTACTGTTTACTGTACTGCTATGCTAAGGGATGTATCACATATGACTGTTATGACTGAATGACTGATATACTGAATCAATTGACTGTTTTCAATACTGAAAGGACATTCATTCTTAACCTCTTTACGCATTGTGTTATTCACTGGGCTTTAGCTTACTGCTCATATATATATGTAGGTGTACAAGCACCAGACCGGAGCTAGGAGCGTGGGTTAGACTCCCTTTTGTCAAAGCCAACCACTGTGCCTCACTGCGAGGTTCCGAGCCTATCAAGCTAGGGCTTTTGAGGCGTTTTAGTTTCCTCCTTTTTTGTATCTGTTGTAACTACTGTTTAGACTGAATGATGTTTTTGTACTGTACTGTCTAATAGAGATTAAGTCCCTGTCCTGAATTATTGTATATATTGTACATACTGTTTTGTTACGAATGTGCATAAATGAAAAGTCTTTTTGCATGCAGACTGTCATAGCTCATTGGACATTATCTATTTACTATTTTGGCTTCCGCCATGCCCCTGTACTCTGTATTATTGTTTGACTGTTAAGCAGGCCTTCGGTAATCACGAATTACTGGCCGGTTACGGTGCTAAACCCATAGGGGCGGGTTTGGGTCGTGACAAAACCTAACATGAGTCCCTTTAATTCACTAGAATTCTTACATTAACAAATCAATTCCATAATTTGTAGGGTGAATGCCTACCTCAAGTCTTGAATTCCTCAAGTGAAGGCTCTAATATGCAAATCCTTCTATTCCTCCTAAACTCCAAGCAAATCCCTTGTTGAATCCAATTTCCTTTCAACTCTCTCTCTCTCTCTTTCTCTCTCTCTCTCTCTCACACTCACGTTTTGCATCAGAGGAATGGAGGAGTGAAATGAAAATGTGAGCTAGTGGAGTCTAAAATGGTCCATAAGTGGTAATGATCAAAAAGCAAATAAATAGCATTATTTTAATCTAGTTTAATCGTTCCGAACCAAATTTTAATTAAACCTACCATAAAATTCTATAAATCCTAACTAACACATATATCAAGTCAATTTCGAAATCGGGCACTGATAAGGCTTTCAATTCGCAGTTCAAAGTCTAAACATGAACATATTATTTTATGGCAAACAGATAGAAACACTAAGATAATGCAATACATATGTAATTTAATTCCGGATTCTTTCTAAATTACTGTTAGGCATAATTAATCACGGTTTAGCATTAATCAGAGGTCGGGGTTATTACAAGTTGAAAATAATGTCAGGTGCACTGTGAACCCCTCGTTAATTGCATTATTGATCAAACTTTTGTCAATTTGATCAGTGGTGACAAAAGATACTCCCTCAGCTTTTCTTTGCTTCTGGCAAAGTAGTGATTGAAGGGGGACATAGACAAAAAAAACTTTATATAAAGAGGGATTCCTCTTTTGACTTCTGGGGCAAGCCTGAGCTAGCCTTTGTCTTGATGCGTCAGTTGGATAGTCAGTTGTCTAAATGCAAAAACGTTATGGCATGCGTCATGAGATACAAATTTATTTAGCTAGTGCAAAGGTTTAAAAGATTCAACCCTTATTTATACCCTTCTTATTCTTGTCTATTTTTTCTAAAATCATTTCGGTAAGAGAATTCCAAAAATCACCAAGTGCTGGTTCTTCATTAGGGTCCTCAAACTAGGAGGAATATGATAATGTATACAAATTGACAGTTTTTTTTAGTTTGTCCATTTTTACTCTGACAAATTATATTTTTCACCCCTACACTTTACATCCAATCTCATTTTACCTTTTCACCTTTTAAATGTCCCAATCAACCTTCTAGATTTTAAGTCAAGTAGAAATTTAGTGTATTTGCATAACATCATTTCAAAAACTAACACATCAAATTACCTCAGTCTACACACTTCATGAATCTTTTTTGTATTACATTTTTGTCCTAAAATAAAAATACCAAAATACCTTCATCTTTCCAACTGGAACCCTAAGTTATTGCAGTGATTACAATCACAGAAGTTCACCAATTCATGCAGAACAGAATCCAAGAAAAAGATGCATCAAACGTAATTGAAATGAGAAACTCAATAATAATCAGTAGAAGATGAGATTAGGTATAGTTTAAACCTTGGATTCAGTAGCTCCAACAATAGTAAAAGAGCATAATCCACCGACACCTCTGTCAGATCATTTTTCTTTACTGCCAGCTTCATACATACACACGCGCGTGCGCGTGCACACACACATACACACGTATAGAGAGAAAGAGAGACCTGAGAGTACGTGAGAGGGAGCATCAAAATCGGAGGGGAGATAATTCTTGGACGAAGCAATAGATAGGGTTTCAAATTGAGAAGCTTTGGATCGAGCTTCAATTAGTGGTAACTGATTGAGTTCCTTCCTTTTTTGATCACCAACTTCACCTTATGCATCACCATTGTTGTCATCAACTTCATGGAATTCTTCATCTTCGTCTTCTTCTCCTCCTTGTTCTTCGTATGGTATTGTCGTCTTCTCTAGTTCTTCTTGTTGTTTGATCTGGGTTTTTCAGATCTCCATCTCTGTTAGTAATGGCGGTTGGGACTGTTATCGGTTGTCAGCAGTAGAGATCGGGCTACGATAGTAGAGAAAGACAACAGCTGGAGGTTGCAGTTGGGGAAGGCCGGAGGTGGCAAAGACCAATGGCAATGGTGGTGTGAAAATGAAGGAGATGGGGACATTTTTGGTAGAACAAGTTGTGTATTAAGTAAAAAATGAGATTTCAAATTCATTAAGTGTGTACTTTAAAAAATGATGTACACAAAGAACATTTGATGTGTGGAAATATAATTTCGCCTAAACAACACGTGATATTATTAATTACACTTAATACCCTTGTACTTTTGTCAAAATGACACTTTAGTGCATCCACTTTAGTCTTTAACACCCTTGTAATTTTACTAAAATATCACTTTAGTTTTTCCATCAATTTTTTTATAAGGCATTAATTGACTAGATTCATTTGTATCTTGACTGAAAGTGTATGTATTAATTGAGATAATTAAAAAGTCACGAGACAAAGTAAGATTTGATTTAAAGTGCAAAGTGTAATTTGCCACTAGTTTTCAAAACACCTACCATTGTCTTCATCATTTCACAAATATTATTAACCCATCATTTTAAATATATATATATATATATATTTTTTTTTTGATTAAAATTTATGTTCAAGATTTTCACTAGTTTTAAAATTAAACCAAAACACAATGATATTTCTTAAGTATTTATGAACTCAAAATCATGATCAACAAGAATATACAAACGTTGTTTTACTTAGGTCAAGTTTGGCATACTCAAAATAATTCATCTTTTTATCTTTTTATCTTTTGTCCATCACACCACCTCTCTACTTTTTTGCACATCTTTTTGTGAATTTTCGTGAAAAGATAAAAAATATACTTATTTAGGTCATCCCAAACAACCCTAAAAAGAAAAAAACGTCTCAACACCGTGCCTTTTAGTTGCACAGCCGAACTCCTGTACTTGGAAGCGCAACATGCACTTCTCTTTCCAACTAGGCTATGGCCCCATTTGGTAGAGCTGTGGGAAAGTGATTATAACTTATAGGCTAACAGCTTATAGTTTATAACTGTGAACATAAGCTGATTTTTGACTTATAAATTAAGCTTCTCCTCCCCCACTCAAAGAATAAGTTGATTTTTGACTTACAAAAAGCTATAAGCTGTATTGTTAAGCTGAACCAAACACATCAAAATAGCTTAAATTAAGCTAAAAGCTAGAAATAAGCCCTACCAAACAAGGCCTATAAGGCCAAATTTGATAAGTTGTCAAAAAGTTAAAAAGTCAAAAAATTAAAAAATTATCACTATTCATTAAAATTCAAAAATTACGGCTGTACAACTCCAAATCCTAATTTTTCCTTACACACTTATTTATACAATTTTTTAATACACATTTTTCCATAAAAAGTCAAAAAGTTAACCCAAACATTCATATTTTTTTCCTCAATTTTTTAGTCCAAAAAGATAAAAAGTACACTTATTTAACATACTCCAAACAACCCCTATCTGATAAATTTTTATTTATATTTATATTTATATATATTTTTTTATATAAATGATATGTTTAATCATTTATATAATGTGAGCAATTTAAATTATCAAATATATTCGAAATAAAGGCCAAATAAATGGCGCTGTACTATGTCTATAAGACACAATACGCCCCCTATATCCCAAAAAAACGACTCCCAAATAACAAAATTTTATTATTTACCATTTTAAAAAGGTCAATCATTTATTTTTTGGGTTAAAAAAAGGTCAATTATGTACCACTTAAAAAAATATCTTTGATTGATTGGGTCAATCAAAACAATCGGCTCAAAGTGCAAATTAGGACTGGGAAGGTTTGCATAAAATATAGATTGCCTTATTTGATTTAAAAAACTATAAATATATCCTTGTCAAATTTTTTTATTTAACATAATTAATTGAAAAAGTGAAATTTCTAACTCTTCACTTATACAATAATAAAATTATTTTAATTGTTAATTAAAAAATATTTTTAATATCATTAATTTTTTTTAAAATTACATAAAACAAATTATATTAAATAAATTTTATATAGTGTTTTTGTAATTCACCCTATTAATATTCATTGAAGTAGGGCCTCAATCAAGACACGACTCTCACAGAAACCCCCCATCACCGTTGGTCCATTGATCATCACTCTCACATAAAACAAATTATATTAAATAAATTTTATATAGTGTTTTTGTAATTTACCCTATTAATATTCATTAAAGTAGGGCCTCAATCAAGACACGACTCTCACAGAAACCCCCCATCACCGTCCATTGCTCATCACTCTCTGTTAACATTTATCAAATCATCAATTATATTTCTATAAAAACCTAAATTCGAAGTTCCGAAAACGCATCAACAATGGCGTCCAGGTATTGGGTGGCGTCTCTCCCCGTTCCCAACTCTGCTTCTTCTCTCTGGAGTCGCTTGCAAGAATCGATCTCCAAGCAAGCCTTCGATACTCATCTCTACAGGGTACAATCCTCAACACATTCATATTCATATTCATATATCTACAATAATGATAATAATGCAGAGTGAAATATGTTCTTAAAAAGTTTGAATTTTGATTGAATTTCGCAGTTCAATATTCCAAATCTTCGTGTTGGAACCTTGGATTCGCTCTTAGCTCTCAGCGATGACCTTTTGAAGGTGAATTTTCCGAATTCAAGTCCGAATTTTGATTTGATTTCAAGACACTGTGTTGAGATTTGATTTTGTGCAGTCGAATTCGTTCATCGAAGGAGTGTCGCACAAGATACGGCGTCAGATAGAGGAGATGGAGAGGGTTTCGGGCGTGGTCAGTAGTTCATTGACGGTTGATGGCGTTCCTGTTGATTCATATCTGACTAGGTAATCGCTTTTGAGTTATCACCATTGATAAATTTAGTTTGTTAGATGTACAAGTTACCGATTTTATTATTATTTTTTTTGGATCTGTGTTGTAGATTTGTGTGGGATGAGGCCAAGTACCCAACTATGTCGCCTCTCAAAGAGATCGTTGATGGAATTCATGTTCAGATCGCCAAGATTGAAGACGATTTTAAGGTATGCCTTTTCAATATGTGAATTTTAGACTCTATGATGGTAAACATGAGATTACTTTATGCTTCACTTTGTTATTGCTTTAACCTTAGAGAGACTATATGTGATAAGTTTATAACAGTCCTTTGAACATGTGAATGAGATGAGAGAATCAGACCTAGTGAAGACTGGCCCGAGAGACTATCCAATACCCACCTTTGATACTATTTTAGAATTTTTGGAGATATACAATCCAAAACAATTTGGCAGGGGCTTCTACATTATGTGGACCAAGTTTGAGTGACAGAAACGTTGTGTCACAAGTCTCTAACAAACATGATTAAACAATTGTGTCATATTAATACTAAACTGATGCTGGGGACATTTTTATAAAATCATAAACTGTTAACTGAAAACTTGTTTGGGACTCAATTTCAGTTGATAAGGATACTGATATGTATGTAACACAAATACATGTATCTATACACAGATTAATGTAGTTAATTGTATTTAGAACATGGTGTGATCGTGAAAGTGTTGGAATTTCAAGTTTTGCCTTTACAGTAAAACTAAAGGTTACTAGTTTTTTGAATGTGACACAGCATTACGTAGTTTTACTTTTGTGTTCACAACAATTGGGTGTTCCCTTAATAATATGGTATAGATAGTATAGATATAATTCAAGTGTGAGGTAATACTTTTACAATTAGGTACTGACATGTTCATAATTAAATCGAAGTGTCTATCATGAAGTATAGAAATAATTGTCATGATAAATCATCATTACCAGCTGAACTTTGAAGAAATGAATGAGTAAACTTTGACTTTGATTTTTAGCAATAATGTTCATTCTAACTAATACACAAACAGACCAACAAAGCTAAATGAGGCCTACTCAAAACAGGAAGGGCAGAAAAAGATTAACAGTATTGTAGCATTTCATAGATTTTTACATGATGCAAGAATGTTTTAACATGATAATTAGACTGAGTTATGGATTTTATTTTGTAACCAAAGATTTATATCAGCACTTCATAGTTTCTCCAATTGAATGGCAATCCCATGCACTAATGAAGATAAATTGCCAGATTACAATGAATGTGTCAAAAAGCCACTGTTTTATCCTTGACTGCCGTGTATAAATATGGTCTTTGTGACAACAGCATTGACATGGTTTTCTATGCTGACCTGTATATGATGTTTCTAATGGTTGTTTAAGGAAAGATGAGTTTTGGTGCTTGAATCATGGGAGACTTGAATGATTTTTGAAAAGATATGTCCACCTAACGTACAGTACGAAATATTTGTTTTTGCTTCGAATCGAAAAAAAGAGAGGAAGATATCTGTTGTTGTATCATTAACCAAATCCAAGTTGTTTTTATTTGGTTCAATAGGTGGGATCTAGTTTTTTTCATCTCTTATGGATGCTATGAAGAATTAAGATGATGTATACGACATAGTTGTTTTACTTTATTTTATTTTATTTTATTTATTTTCTTTGTTTTGCATAATGTGGCGCCCCTCATTACTGTTTTCTTTTTTTAAAAATAAATTATTTTAAAGTTTTACTCATGATTTTTGAAAAGATATGTCCACCTAACGTACAGTACGAAATATTTATTTTTGCTTCCAATCGAAAAAAAGAGAGGAAGATATCTGTTGTTGTATCATTAACCAAATCCAAGTTGTTTTTATTTGGTTCAATAGGTGGGATCTAGTTTTTTTCATCTCTTATGGATGCTATGAAGAATTAAGATGATGTATACGACATAGTTTTTTTATTTTATTTTATTTATTTTCTTTGTCTTGCATAATGTGGCGCCCCTCATTACTGTTTTCTTTTTTTAAAAATAAATTATCTTAAAGTTTTACTCATCAGTCTCACCTTTTATTTGACCTGCCATGTGAGTGCTGATGAATGAACAACTTTCTTTGGTTACAAGTCATAAACACATGTCAATTTATTTTTTTTTTTTTGTTGTTGTTTTCATTTTCCAAAATAGTGCACATCTAGGTCTAGCTACTTCGGTTGGACTTAGGCAAGTTTAAACCTGGCCGAAGTACAGAGTTCTTTATATTCAAATGTGAAGTCAAAATATGCATAAAGCCTGATTTACTTGTATTGATTCTGGTATTGATGCACATCTAGTGCTGAGTCATCTTCTTATCCATTGTGAGATGGCTCGGGATTTGTGGACATGGGTCCTTGGCTTTGTTTGGCATAGTTTGGGTATGTCCTTGAAAGGTGGGGAGCTTCTTTATTCTTTGAGAGGAGCTCATGTGGGAAAGTGGAGGAGGAGGAAGGAAGGTTTGGTATTTGGTCCCGTTAGTGTTGATGTGAAAGGAATAGGAGAATCTTTGTTGGCAAAAAATAATTAATTTTGAGTACTAAGAGTAAATTACTTTCTTTTTTGTATAGTGGTTCTTGGGGATGTTTATTCCATCCAGGAATCAAATTGTGGATTTTGTAGAGATTTTTTGAGTAGATTTGGATGTATTGTTGGTGTAGCCTCTTTTTGTATACGGGTTACACTCCTTTGGTGCCTCTTGTTTAACGAATTTATACTTGTCAAAAAAATATAAAATAAAAATGAAGCATGCCAAGTTTTAGGCTAAAAGAAAAGTTACGATGTTTTACGAGAAATTTTCTTTGTTAAATGCAACCATTCATTTTATAATTGGATATGATCAAAGATCCAGTTGTGGTGGTACTGCATAGTCGTGCAAATGCTTTATTTTAAGCCAAGTATTTTGAGCTTCAGTGGATTGGCTTTAGCATGGGCTGAATGGTTGGGCAAGTATAACCAGATAGGCCTGGTGTACTTTCTGCAATGGGAACAACTCACATCAGTATTATGTGAAATATGGAATCTTTTTTATCTTTTCCCAGTTCATTGCTAGTACTACATTTATGTATTTGGTTTATTGGTCGTATTTCGTGATTGATGTACTTTTGGAATTTGGAGATATTGTTGAGTTATATTATCTTTGAGTAAAATCAAAATACTGTTGGCTGGTCACTGATTTGTGACGTGAGATTTTCAAACATTTTGTTGTTGGTTTTCTTAATCTTCATGTCAAGTTATGCGAACTTATGTGTCCTACATTTTCAATTATGGTTGTGCCATCTATTAATTGCCATCTTAGATTTTATTTACTGAAATCATATGAATACTATTTGACAAACAAGCATGCATGATGCTGTTTTATTTTTGTTTTTAAATTTTCTTTTATAAGCAAAGATGAAAAAAAAACCTCTTTTGAGTACATATATTATCTTATCCACCTGGCTAACAAATCAAGTCTTTGTTTCTTGCACTTAATAGTATCCATCCATTACTTTCTATAGTTAATACTCACTTGAGCATGCTAATATTTTTTTTGTCTTGCCTATGATAGGTTCGTGTTGCTGAGTATAACAATGTGCGCAGTCAACTTAATGCCATAAATAGAAAGCAGAGTGGGAGGTACGTCTTTTTTTGGGTGAATAATTTTTTTTTTTTTTTTTTTTGGGGGGGGTTCAAAATCTTGGACTTTGACAAAGCTCTGTACCCTCATGGAGCATATAATTTATGTATGCTTAGCAGTGACAAGTATGTGTGTGTATGGTGGGTCTTAACAACTATAAACTTTGTTTTCAAAGAAACTATGTTCTTCATATATGCCACAAGTTCTTGAGCACCATTCATTGTGAAGTGACTAGGAGATTATAGACATGCAATGCATGCCATCACACTCATGCGAGGAGTAAGGAGAGGGGAGCAAGGGGGGATAGAGAGAGAAATGGGATAGAAAGATACATAACTTCTCCCATTTACACTTTTTAAATAGAAACGTAGGATTATTTATCTATGTGCTGCTGTAGAATTGTTGTTTTAAATTTTGATTTTATTTTTTTAGGGGGGTTGGGGTATTACCTGTGATAAAGGTAATCTGAGAGACTAAATATGGTCCCCTACCTATGTACCTTAATATGCCTGTAATTGATGACAAGATTGTTATTACTAGAATAAATTATTAAAACAATTTTTGTTACTGGAATAGAAGCAAATAAGCTGCTTGTTCTTCTGCACATGTTTCATCAGAAAATAAACCATTTGATAAACATTGGTATCACTGACTTGCAAATTTGTATGTGTGGGGAAGGGCCTGGTAGGGGTTGGTTGTGGTGACGTTAAAGGGTGTTACTGCAATAACAACGGATTTTTTTTACAGCATTTTTTAAAAGAAACATGATTTACAGCAGTTTTACAAATAAACTAGCACATCAATTTTTGGTTAGTGCATCGAATCGTAGCATGATGCCTTGATATATATATATATATATATATAGGTTTTGTAATTGATTTGAATTTTTTGCTTATTCCAGCTTGGCTGTTCGTGATCTGTCCAATTTAGTGAAGCCACAAGATATCATTGCGTCAGAACATTTAGCAACCCTCCTTGCTGTTGTTCCTAAATATTCACAGAAGGATTGGTTGTCAAGCTATGAGACACTCACCGCATATGTGGTAAAAAATCCATTTGCAATTTATAATATCACTACGTAATAATCATCAGCTTAATATTTGAATGGCATGGTTGCTTAAATTGCTACACTGGAGATCAAGTTGGCAAGTGCAAGTTCACCGAGGATTTTACAGTTGTACCTGTTGCATATTTATGATTGAGAAGTGCCATCTTTCTTGGTCATGCATTTTGTTAATGTTTTAAGAAAGAATGGATTTTTCCTCTTTTTTTGTTGTTTTTTTGTTTCACTAAGTTATATTTTTTTGTTTTAAAGTTCTACTTTTGGATTGAACTAATTGTTTTAGGTACCCAGATCTTCCAAGAAACTATTTGAGGACAATGAATATGCTCTTTACACTGTAACACTGTTCATTCGTGATGCTGACAACTTTAGAACTAAAGCGCGCGATAGAGGTTTTCAAGTGAGTTTGTCCCTCAAGCAGCCTTTGTGTTTTTTTAGGTGGTTGTGATGACAGTTATATAGCTCATCTTTGTTGATTTTAAGAATTTCTTGCTCCATTATCTGGTGATATAACAAATACATGAATAATATGCCAAAGATATTGATCTTGGTTATCTTCTTATGTACTACGTCTTTGATTTTCTTTGTGATTCAGATTCGTGATTTTGAATATAATCTAGAAACACAAGAAGGTCGGAAGCAGGAGCTAGAAAAGCTGATGCAAGATCAAGAAACACTCAGAAGCTCTCTTTTGCAATGGTGCTATGCCAGTTATGGGGAGGTACTACTATTTTTTTTATCTTGGTGGGAATTATTATATGGGTTTCATGGATTTTGGAAATTGGATCAAACTAGTGTTAATGAAATTCATTAAATAATTTATCTTTCCTGGCTAATGGGTTCCAAATGATGATGTGTGATTTGGTGTATAATAATCTAAATTGTATCCATCTTGGGCCCACTGCATAAATCATGCACAACCATCACACCCTATATAATTACGCTTTTTGGCCAGATAGTTAGCACATGATTAGCTATTTAAGTAACTGGCAATGTTTGACTATCTTAATAAGACCTTTCACAGTAAAAGGGGTGTTATTAGTGGAATTCTGATCCCCCATGCTTGTTTCCAAGGTAAACTGACCTTCTTTGATCCATAAATGCATCATTATAGGAATTTACCTCAAATCTTTCAGATTTCAATCTTGTCCATTCACAACATCCCCTTTAGTGGAATTCTCACCTCCCAGGGTTTTTTGGATATGAAGGCTGATATCTCATAAAACATGTCTGTTTTCTTTCTTGAGGTACTTGTTAATAGATCAGAGAATAGGTTGAAGTGCATTTTTTTAATTATTTTTTCTTGGCCAGTGTCTTTGGAGTAGTTTTCATGAACACACTGTCCGGCTTTTGACGCACCCCAAGACGGTTATTTTGTCAGGAGCTGTAAAAAGAGTCTCAGAAATTCATAATCACACTAGTTAAACATGCTTTCTATGTTAATCATCACTATTACAATATTTCTTTTCTTACTCTTTAAACAATACAAATAAGTAGCACTCGTTCTCTTGATTTTTGAATTAGTATTTGATTGTTGAAGTTGTTGAATTGTCATCTAATTTAGTGTTTGATTGTTGAAATTGCTAACTTTGTTATTTATTTTTACTTGTAATGGTCATAGAAAAACTTGTATTCTTCCATTTGTGCTAGTAGCACATTGATAATTTCCAATATTGATGAAGTATTATTTTCTATATTGAATAAGGTTTAAATTATAGATTGAGTGATTTTTTCATGTTGAATTAGTGGTAGGGTAGTTTTTGAACATTTATTATTATTTTTTGATCAACAACAAAAGAAATTTTATTTAAAGATAAAACAAGACAACTTTAGTCAAGACAAAGAAAGCAACTTTTACATCACAAATAGCTCACCAATCTTTAGAAATAAAAAAAAGTGAGGTCCCTTTAAATGGAGTTTAATTGGAAGCCCAACACGATAACAAGAAGGGGCACACTTTATCTCACAAAGACGTCGTATCATCGAATTTGTCCTCAAAGATCTCACTCTATCCCACAATGATGTTGTATCATTGAACTTGTCCTAAAAGGCCCTTGCATTTCTTTCCATCCAAATAATAAAAAATATAGCGAAAAGACCACAACACCACAACACTTGCGCTTTCGTTTACCTCCAAAGCCCCAGAAATCAATTAAAATCATGTGCGCACACATGCCTGGGCACCACCCAATGGATATGAATCATATGAAAGAGTTGATGCCAAAGATCCAAAGCCACATGACAATGCAAGAACAAGTGATCCAAAGATTCCTCACTCCTCTTGCACATGATGCACCATCGAGGACAAAGATAGCAATGGGATCTCCTCTTTTGAAAAATATTATTAGTCATTATTTTCCCATGAGCCAAAGTCGCCATAGTTTTTTTAATCTTTAGAGGCACTACCACTTTCCAAATTCTCTTATGAAACGAAAAAGAAGCAACATTTGGCTTACGAATAAGAATTTTAAAGAAAGAATTGCAAGAAAAAACGCCAAAAGAGGGAAAAAGCCAAACTCGTTTCTCACACACATTTGGGGACAAAGAAAAATCATCAAGCAAAGACGACAAAGATACATCTCTAGAGATTTTCGATTGTTAAGATTTCTAAAAAAGTTGAAATTTCATGAAGTCAGTGTCAAACTCGAACGAGCCAAAGAAGCAATGAAAGCTCATTATGAGAACAATCTTCAGGAAATAAACATGGAAACAATACCTCGATAGAAGTGTCACCCACTCAAACATCCTCCTAAAACTGAAATTTTTTTTCCCCCCATTATCCACTCTCAAAGAAAGAAATTAGAGAACAGTGGAAGGATATGAAAGAGATTTCCATGGAGATTGACAATTGCCCCTACAAACCACAAGAGTATCTCTGCCATTAGCTTGTAATCAGTACTTACTTTTAATAATGGAATGCCACAATGAATCACACTCAATGGGGAATCTCTAACCACTTTCCAAGAAGAGCATTGTTTCTAGGCACAATATTGCCAATAGCTAATCCTCCTTTCTCCTTAGGGTGGGAAATCACCTCCCAATTCACGAAGTGATCCTTCTTCCGTTCATCCTTACCTTCTCAAAGAAAATCGCTCAACATGTTTTCAATAATGTTTGCAACCCTGACTGGAATAATAAATAAAGACAAATAGTAAATGGGAATATTACTCAACACAGATTGTACTAGAGTATATCTCCCCCCTCTAGATAACAAAGGTCTCTTCCACTCCTCCAACCTCTTACCGATCTTTTCTAACACTGGAAACCAAAAAGACTCAACTCTAGGATTAGCTCCCAATGGAAGTACCAAATACTTAAACGGGCGACTCTCATCTCAATGGAACTTCCGAGCATACCCACCAATCTGTGCATTCTATCTTGTTGCAAATTAATACCCACAATACAACTTTGGTTCATATTGACCTTAAGACCAGAGACAACTTCAAAGATTCTACACATCGATATCATATTAACAACCTTACTTTCATCCCCAGAGTTCAATATTTATTTTTAGTTGTTTGTGGGTGTAATATATATATATATATATATTTGTTGTTGTATCCCTGCTGTGTTCGTATTTTGATTGAAAAAAATTACCGTGTTCCATGACTATATCCATGCTTCTTAGGAGTAACCTTTGACACAGCAATTTGTGTGAGGGGGCAAACACTGAAATCGATAAACATTTTTCATGTAAGCAATAAGTCATCCTCAATTGATCTAACATCATTTAGAACAGCATCCTGATTTTTTTTTTTTTTTTTTTGGCTGATAAAATCATGAAATAGAAAAAAGGTAAAGCTTATTTTTTGACAAAAAAAAAAAAAAAAAAATTTAAACTTCATCTTTGATACGACTCAGATAACAGGTCCTCAATACAATGAAAGGTTTGAACTCTGTGTGGGTCCTTGTCATAGTTGACAAGACATCATTTCATTGTAGTTTTTTCACACAAACACACACATGTTATGTGGGTGGGCACATCATTGTCAGGTGATGTATATCTGCCCGTGTATACATGCATGATGTGTACCCTTTTATTCTCACTATGAGAGTTGTGAAAGTATCAGCTGAATGTGTTATGAATATTGTCGTGGACATTCTAGTACTCAAAATTGCTACAAATTTACACCAACTTGTGTAAAGTTTAACTACAATTAGTTTACAGTGTTAGTGGGCATGCAGGGCACATTATCCATGCTTTAATAAAGTTATCAAAAACCATGCAGTTATAACTAGAATGATGATCGCACTAATTAGGATTTTATTGTTGTGCTTGCCCTTTGTTAATTGAAATGTGGACTATTCTGCTACGTGAACGGGAACATGGTATGCCACATGATCTCAAATATGGTACGATAAGGGTAGACTTGTATAGTTTACACTATAATAATATAAGATAATTCTAGTATAACTTTCTTTTAACAATTGAGCATCCAATAAAATGTTTTTTTTCCTCTCCAAATTAATCATGTATTTCTATATGAACGTTATGGCCCATTTTTTATGTTTTGTCCTGTCAAAGCTTCACTCACCATAGATTTTAGTTGATTATGCTTGATTTTTTTCCCTCCCAAGGAAACCTTTAAGGAAATTATACGTATTGGGAAAAAACTTTTGGGATTGCTTCGGATCGCTAAATTTACTGTTTTGAAAAAAAAGTGTACAATGTTTTGGAATTGTTCCAAAACGTAATTCAGTAGGGTATTAGCTTTTTTTATGTTTATTTTTAAACACTGATTGCTTGCAATTACTATTTTCTAAATTGACAGTGAGTAGTAACAGTATTTTTTTTCTCTGTTACTTTTCTGTCAACTACTGGAATTTTTGCCTTGCAATGTGTAGGATGCATGTTTGAAGAAATTTGTTTTGAATGCATGATATAATACAGGTTTTCAGTTCGTGGATGCACTTCTGTGCAGTACGTTTATTTGCGGAGAGCATTCTGAGATATGGCCTGCCACCATCTTTCTTGGTAATTAAACAATGTCTCTGTACTGATCCCTTGTCTTGCCAAAGTTCTGTTTTTTTTTTTTCTTTTTCTTTTCATTTGATTTTCTCGGCTAAGAAATTGCAATTTTATTGATTTCAGTCAGTTGTATTGGCACCTTCTGTGAAAAGTGAGAAGAAAGTACGTGCCATCCTAGAGCAACTGTGTGACAGTGGAAACAGGTACTTTAGATGAGCATCTATAGTTTTGGTTTCTGCTACACGAACCTTGTGTATGAGATCTTGGGCAAGCCAGAGTAAAAATGGTAGACAAAACTGAGTCCTAGGAAATAAAATAGGGACAATTGTGAACAAATGGTTTCAACACAATATAATTGCAAAGTGATGGGAGTACAAGACTTACTTGCACAATATACTACATAAATTGATTGTACTTTCATCTGTTTGTAATTATTTGTTTTTACTTGACACTTTTTTTTTTTTGCCTCCCAATAAAATAGGGACATATAATGAATCAACTATTAACCAAATTTGATCGAAAACGGAATTTGGTGAGTCCTTCAATTAAATGTCCCAACTCCTATAGCATATAGGCATTGTTGTTAGAACCTTGCGACTCGTGATTCGATTCATACTATTTGATACTATTTCATCCAAAATTATTTGATTCATGTTGTTGATCTTAAATTGAGTGAATCGTACGATTCAATTGCGATTTTCTACTAGTCATTATGATTTATTGTGATTCAGTTTTGTTTGTATAATGCATGAAATAATTTTGTTTTCACAAAATAAAAAAAGAAATCAATAAATAATATTGATATATGTGATTTTATATGTATATATATACAATTTAATTATATTGTTATTTATTTCATTTTAGATAGTGTCTTTTATATGTATATACATGTATAAAATTATATATTATGCTAAATGAAGTGAAATTTACAAATCACGATTTGACAATAATGACTATAGGTATTTCATTTGCCAGGGTGGAGTTGAGATATTTATCCAACTCTAATAACCCTAACGATATATCTGGTGTATTATACCCAAGTGGAAGTCTATGTAGATATACAAATTTCTAAATGAAGTCTATGTAGATATACAAGTTTGAACTCATTTAGTCACAAAATCTTCCTTATAAACCACTTACCTATTTTGAAGCATCTTGGTATATGGTTTTGAAAGAAAAGGAAAACTTATTAGCTCCATGTTTGGTTCATTATCCCATTTCTTCATAATCAAGTGGCCCTGAGGTGGTTTGGCCCGAAATTTAAGGACAACCATACTGGAAGTTAAATAACCTTCCTCAAACAAGAGTTGAATGTGCTCGAGCTATTCGTCTTCAATGGTTGCACTCACAGCACCCTTTGGACCTTTCACACTCGTGTCAAATCTTTGACTGCTGTATTTATTGTGCGGATACTAATCTTCCTATATGTGAAACTGCAGTGCATTCTGGAAATCTGAAGACGATGGAGGGGTGGGTGGTCTTGGAGGCGATGCTGATGCTCATCCTTATGTCTCCTTCACCATAAATCTCATTTGAGGTAATATTCCAATGTCACTATCCAAATACCTAGTTGGATCACATCAGTCTGCTATAATAAGAACATATATGGAGACTGTATAATAGGAGAACTAATCATTCTTTTGTGCTTAATTTAATGTAATTGCCTGTGGGATTTCGCTTTGAAAGATTAATGTTGTTTCCTTTCCTTTCAAAAAAAGAAAAAAGAAAAGAAAAGAATTGTTCTTGGAGTTTTAATTTATGTATGTGTAGAAGCATTTTGAGTTGAATAAAAGAGTTTGTTTGTAAGGTTCAAACATTGGAGTGTGGGAGAGTAATTGTTATAATTAGCAGAATTTATTGCTGTTTGGCGTACCTTATAGGCCTGCTTTTATATATTTTATGAAAATTTGTGCAAACTTGTTTGGTGCAGTTTTTGCTTACAACTTAATAGATAGAATCAACTTAGATAAAGCTGAAAAAAACCTGATTATTGAGAAGCTAGAGGAATGGTGCTTTTAGTTTTTGTTTTTTTATTATCAACTTTTAGCTTGTTGAAAGTTACACCAAACAAACCCTTTATATGGTTGTTACTAAAGGATCCTAGTGTAAACTTAATTCTGAGTTTAGTTTATGGATTTGGGTAGAAATTTAGAAAGGGAAAGAAAAAGATAAGAAAAATAAGAATGAAATATAATTTAAATTTTTTTCTTCATTTTCCTCGCCTTTTCTCGTTTTCATTTTCGAATCCGGGAAAGAGAAAAAATAGGTAAAATGTTAATGAAATATAACTATATTTCACATACAGTTTTCCTTTTCTTTTTCAAATTTCTTTTCAAATCCATGAGCCAAATACAACCTGTATGTTTCCTTCATGATGCATTTCTGTGAGTTTTGGTTAGCTAGCCAGGCCCAAAAACAAGGGCTATGTATGCCTACTTGTGTGGTTGTGTTTTGGACACAAAAATAATAAAAAGTTTGAAAACATTTATAATTTTTATAACTTTTTTATTAGTGTGAACAGTGTTTTAAAAATATTTTTTCTGTATTTTGTAAAATACATAAGTTTCTGAATTTCTTCATCCAGCTATATCATCCATCAGTTGATTCAAAAGTCACAACTTGTGATAATGACTAGTTGAATTGTGGTTTTGGATTAATTGTCCGATGATAGTTGGATGACGAAAGTGTTAAAAGAGAATGCGGATGTCTTAAATGCAATATTTGGATTGTATCTTGCAACAGTATTCTGTTTCAGTCGGCCAAAGAAACATCATTTTTTAATCTCATTATCCATACGAAGAGAGATGAATAGGACACTCATCTTCTAACTTTTTTATTAGTGTTTTAGTTGTTCTTATAATTATATATTCAGATAATTCTCTTAAAATCTATGTGTAACATATATGGAAAATACTATAATACATGTGTACCACATGTTCCAATTATGTACCATGTGTCAATTATGAACTTATGAACTTTGTGGTTTTAGTTATGACTTATTATGGTGTTAGTTATGATTTGGTTATGATTTAGTGTGATGTTTATTAATTTTTTTTTAATTATGATTGAAAATGATTTAGTGATAATTAGTACCACAAATGTTATATGTATAGTAGCATGACTCATATTTATGATTTAGGGTTTAGTATTTTATTTATTTGAATTTTACACGTATCACACGTGTATCAATTGCTTTATATAATGCTATATATATGAGAGAAAATTTTATATAGAGGACAGTCCCGGGCGCCTAACTCAACTAATCTAACATATTGGTCCAATCCAATCAAGAAGTCCACCAAATAACCTAATTAGGGTAAGATATGCTTACACATGCGTCAACACAGAAAATGGTTGAGACCACTAATTAGTGGTAGCACTAATGATGTGGCAGTGGGTCCTATCTACTGCCACAGTGTTGCTGTGCATTTTTTTTATTTTTTTATTTTTTTTTAAGTGTGTCAACGCACTAATGTGCTTTAGAACACTACTTTTAGTGGTATGTATCATTGCCGGCTTCAACACTGCCCACTTTCTCAATGTCAGATCTCGTGATGTCTTGTTTTGCATAATTGTTGGAAGTTGCTCATCTCTTTGTTGAATCTATATCACCAAGTGTGGATTAATTTTTTCCCCATTCAATGTTATGTACACACTACACAACTTTTGTATTTCGGATTACAATCACACACAATAAAAAAAATTAAAAAAAAATCTTGATTGATTTTCAAACAAGAAAATCAAAAATATTTTTTGAGTTTGAAGATCAAACAAGATGAATTTACACTTAGTTGTTGAGTTCTATTTGTTTTTTAGTATAAGCTAGCTTGAGTGACACAATCGGAAACACATCATTCCGAAATGTTCTCTGTAGGCTTTATGATGTTTACGAGGAGTGGTGGCCACGAATAATTCCATGAATACATGTAGTTTTCCATCTCTTTTCGGTGCTGTTAAAATTAAATGAAGTAATTCATATTTTAAACAAATTTCAAGAAACATTTGTAATTTACTCTAAAATAAATAAGATGTAGTCCAATGTCTGTAGAGTGCAGTTCAAATTGTGCATTTTGCAACTACAAAAAAGAAGGGGTGCTATGGGCTTGGGTGGTTTTAGTGAAAAAGGTTTGGGTTGACTAGGTTATTGGGTTGGGTGGGGATGGTCTCCGGCGATAGCAGAGGTAGGTAGGGGAGTGACTAGGGCTACAAAGGAGTTGAATTGAGCCAAGCTGAGCTTTGCTGAGCTTGAGCTTGGCTTGTTTGCTTATCGAGCTCGGCTTAATAAGTAACTACACTCGACTTCGTTCGGTTCGGTTCGGCTGGATTTTTTTAAATATTTGTTATATATTATTTAATATATAAATAATGTATTTATTATATAATTTAAATAAAGATAAACGAGTTGAGTTTATTCGAACTAAACCTTTAATAAGCTGAGCTGAGCTTGTTCGTGCACAGTTCAGTTCATTTGTAACTCTATGAGTGACATGAGTAGGTGGAGTAACGAATGTGGGTTGGAAAGGGTAGGGGTGACTGGAATGTGTAAGGGAGAGGTAGAGAAGTAGTGGGGGTAACGAGGGAAGAGAATGTAATTTTTAAATTTTTTTGCTCACCTTTAAATGTTTGCCTCATTTACTACTAGATATAGTTTCCAAATAATTTTACCACAATTGATGGAGCTAGGGCTAGCATGTTTGCCAAAATCTATACTATGTAGTTGTTTGGGATAAATTAAAAAAAGTGTATTTTTTTTTTTTTACTTACACTTATTTGGATCACATTAATCAACATCTTCTCTATACTTTTCTAATCACTTTATCTACTTTTCTACACATTTTTTTATATATAAAAAGTCAAAAAATATATTTACTTAGAACATCCCAAACTATATATAAAAGTAAATGTAATTTTCTCTCAAAAAGTTTCAAAAGTCTTATTATTAAATTCTTTTTTTTTTTTTTTTTTTTTTTTTTTTTAGGTACATCGGAAATAAAACAAAGAAGGACTACATCCTACCACCCTCCTGGGAGAGATGAACAATATCCGCAACAAGTAATGGGCGGAGTTCTACAGGGGGTTCATTTACAATAAGCAAGTCTGCCGGTTAATAGTCACCTAACTTGGCCATTGCATCCGCACAAATATTAGCTTCCCTTCGAATGTGTTGGATGGAGCAGTCACATCCTCTCATGATAATGCGCGCATCTTCCATAATGCCCCGAAAAGGACATTTTTCTCCCAGATCCTCACTCAATAATTTCACCACTTGCTCCGCATCAGTTTCTATAATCACTTCATTGAATCCTCGTTGAAGTATTATAGTCAACCCCTTGTAGACTGCCCAAATTTCCGCTTCTAGACAAGTACATATTTCAAGTCTTCCATAGTATCCACTAATCCATGCTCCGGATTCATCCCGAAATAAACCACCAAAACCTCCACCTCCTCCATGCCTGCGAGTGCTATCATCCGTGTTAAGTTTGATTTTACCTGCATTTGGACAAGACCACACAGAAAGACTTTTAGCTTGAAGTGGTTGAGTAACATCCAAACTAAAAGCTTGAAAGATATCCTTGGCATAATCTGTTATGAGTTTAACACTCTCATGGATATTAGTAGTTTTAGATTCAAAAACCATCTTATTTCGATTTTTCCAAATAGTCCAAAGGGAGATGAGGAACAAATAAGAATTATGGTTCTTCCCTTTCATATTTTGGATGAGCCAATCTTTCCAAGGTAACGAGAGCCTACTGCAGTACCACTCCTTACTATAAACATGGCACCATATCTGGGTAGTTTTGGGACAAAACCAAAGCAAATGTTCAAGATCTTCCACATTAGCACAGTAAGGACAATTGGGATCAGAAGTAATACCTCTCTGGTTTCTCATTTTGTTAGTGAGAATTTTCCCATGAAAGACAAGCCACAAGAAGCTTTTAAGTTTCTGAGGAAACTTAAGCTTCCAAATCCATCCCCAATCCCTTTCCTGGTTATGATGATCAACAATTAAAGCATATGCACTTGATGTGGAGAATTCCCCATCAGATGATTTAAACCATCTGGGAGTGTCTTCTCCAGCATTAGGTCTCGGTGGTTGTAGTTTTAAAATAGCTTCAACCATAGATAAAGGGAAGGAATTTTGCAAAAGATTTAAATCCCAATCACCATGAGTATCAAGAAGAGACTCCACAGTAGTATGTTCACAATTTGGAGTTGGATTGGTAAGTGTGTTCAAAACCAATTCAAAAGCCCCAACACCACACCACCAATCTTTCCAAATTCTCACTTTGTTACCGTTACCAAGCTTCCATCGAACTCCTTGAACCAGGAGCTTCCTAGTATTAAGGATGCCTTTCCAAATGTGCGATAGACTCTTGCCTTTCTTTTTAATTAAGAAAGGCTGTTGACCCAAGTATTTATGATTTAACACATCAACCTAGAGAGTATTCTCTCCACTTAACATTTTCCATCCCAATTTGGAGAGAAGAGCTAGATTTTGATCTCTAGCCTTACGGATCCCAAGACCCCCATGTTTTTTCATTTTGCAAACCTGATCCCAATTAACAAGATGAACTTTCTTTTTCTCAAGACTGTCACCCCAAAGAAAGTTTGTGATCAGAATAAAGTTTTCTCTGATTTGTTCACAAATTTTTCTGTGATTTGCTCATAATTTTCTCTAATTTGCTCATGATTTTTTTTTTTCTGTGTTTTAACCAAACTAGAGAAAATTATGTTTTTTTACATAGAGATTTCAAGCAACCTTCAATAAATATTTACACAAAAAGAAATTGAGAATTAAAAATGCTCTTACTCAAATTTATGCTTGAAAATATTGATGAGACTAAACAATCTATAGAATTATCTGTAATCAT